GTAACTAAAAGTAAAATAATAGAACAGTTCTATTATTTTGCTATTATGTTACTATTATGTTACTTATATTGACAAACTTCCTATTATTTTACTCTTATTCTGCTATTATACAGCTGTTATGCTATCATTATTTGGCAGATATAGGGTAGAATAATGGCAGATTTTTTTTTTATTATTTACCTATTATTCACCCTTTATTTATTTGTTCAACCTGTGTGAGTATATCTGATTCTTATAATCTTTTATCTTTGATATACCTGTTATTGATTCCTTTAAGATATTTTAACAATAGTCTAGGATCTGTAATAAACTCATATCTCAAACCAGATCTGCTGCTACTATTGATCTTTTAACTAATCTGTATCTCAAACCAAGTCTGCTATTATCATTCTTATAGATATTTCAAGTCTTAATATTATACAGTAAATTAGTGCTACATTTAATTTTCAACATGATGCTCTCTTTTATAATAAGACTGAGACTTGTTATACTTACAAATAGAAAAATTTTAATTATATCTAAGGAGTTTCTTCAACTCTAGTGATATTATACTATCATATATTGCAAACTCTTAGCTTATTCAATAATATCTGCAAAACAATTCTGATTATGCTCAGAGAGTTATACCAACCTTAGTGATGTCATACTATCTTGCAAACCTTATCTCATATTGGTTGATTGATTTCAGTTTTGTTTATCATAGACTTCTATATAGATATGATCAGAATCTAATTTAGTATCTTTATATTGAACAAGAATGTTATATGTCAACTTCTAAGATTTTTCTTTTCTATAATTAGATTATTCAGTTATGCAGAGATGTTTTCAATTTTAATTAGATCAATCTTTTACTACAGCCTGTTCTTGTGTTTACTGCTTCTTTTATCATTTCAGTTATGGTTATTTTCAAACTACTTTCTTAATCAAATCTTTTTTTTAGATCCTAATTAGAGCTTATTTGCATAATCTATTGATTATCTTTTCAAGCAAATACCCTACAAGTTGGGTGCAAGGATGTTGGTACTACCTATATTAGAAGGTATAAAGATGTTGATGCTATCCTAGTCTAAAGAACTTACATATGTAATCTTTTCATAATCATAACCTTCTATAATAACTGCTTGTTATACATAATGCTTACACTTTATAATTGGATCTTCTTCTAAGAATTTCTATTTCTGTTATTGTACTACACTTGAACTTAACTACAGGGCTTCATATTTAATTACAAACTTCTTATTAGATTACAAAAGCTAAAGTTTTTCAATTTTGCCTTTAGCCAAACTTGAACCATTAACCTTAACTGTGAAGGATATAGAAACTTAACCACTAAGCTATGAAACTCACACTCCTTAATAATATATTTTTATTTACTATATAAATCTAAATTTACTATACAGATTATATAACAAATAATTTACATGTATTCTACTCTTAATGTTAAATAATAGTTACTAATTTATACTAATTTATTACTTCTCCATTATCACTGCTAAAAATAATAATCAAAAACATAACCAATTTATAAAAAAGTTTATAAATAATTCTATATATATTTATTATAATTATACAATTAAACCTTTCTATAATTACACTTATTATAAACACATCATACAAAAAACAATTACATATAAATGTATAAAAAAACCTCTTTATAAGCACACAAATCTTTATTCTAAAAAGTGTAATTATAAAAAGGTCTGACTATATATATATATAAATAATGTAACAAATCAGATAACTGTTAATAAAAACAATAAATCAAAATTATAATTCTAGGTACATATTTATTGATTAAATTATAAATCAAAGTATCAAGAAAAAAAATAATAGTAAGACGAATCATGAACTACAGTTTGCCGTGTTTAAAGTTTACAATATATTACAATGTTGGATTCTGAATACAAAGATTTTAGCGTCATGTTTACATGAAATCGTCATAGTCGTCATCATAATTTCCGTAATCTACTGTATCAAGAACGTCATCAGTCTGAAGTGACGGTTTGGCTTCTGGGATTGCAGATATGAACATAAAAAATTAGCTACAACAATTTTAATCTATCTGTAGAATATATTATACTTACTTCTTTTCTTTGCCTTGTTAGCCTCCTTCAAAGCTTTCGCTTTTTCATTTGCCATTGTTGCCAGCGTGCTAGAAACTTTACGAATATCAACGTCTTTAAGTGAGGAACATAATTCACGCACGAATCCATTAATAAAATTAATATATAGGCCTTGTTTCTATAAACATTGTTGCATACATTTAAACCATGTGTAATAACGTGACTATTAAATAAAGCAGTGTATCCAGGTTAAAAAATACCTCATGCTTTCTGATCCGTTCAATCAAAAGGTTACAAAACTCATCAAACTCTTCTTTTGTTTGGGGATTTATTCTATCTAACGGCGAACCTTCCGTTTCTAATAATAAAATCAAAATTTCAATTATAACGGCTCAAATATGACATGCCAATAATTTTTATACCTCTAATCGTTACACCCCTAAACATTCCTTCTGCGTTTTCAAGGTCAGCCTCAATAACCGCTTTAGCATCCCTTTTTTTTTTCTCTAAAGGATCGAAATCACTATCCTCTTCACTATAATCCTGTTTCTGCATAACAATGTATTGTTAATAACCAATATAGGAATAAGTTATGAGATTTATAAAGATGCATAATCAGAATTTTAGTGATTTAAAATGAATACCCTTCTTTCCTTTTCTTCTGCTGCTTGCTTTCTTTTCAATTCTTTCTCTGCAATTTTTTGTGTAATAGTAGCCTTTTTCTTTTTAGGCGTCTCTTCCTTTGGTGGCTTTGTCTTATCTTCATCTTCAGACGAAGACATTTCCCAAGAAACCTATGAATAAAGTAAGATATAAATTTTATCAGTAAAGAGGTTTTAGTCGCGATATCCAATTATCATTACCTTGATTTGATCTTCATCGACATCTTCATTAACCCATTGTTTTTTTGCGGGAAACGCAATTGGAACGGGTATTTCATCAGAATCACCTACAAATTTTTGATAGATAAGAGGTTATAATATGAATATAATAACAGAAATATTCAAACAATTATTAAACGTTGATCACCCCAATCAGCCATGACACTCGTTTTCGAAGAAATAGCAATTTATCAATTTAGAAATTACAGTTTCTTCAAAGGACAACGCGACATAGATTCGTAATAAAATTATAAATGTGATACTAGATACTATTAATTTTGTGAATAACGGTTGTTTAATGAAATGTTAGGGAAGTTTCCCACTAAAGTTTTAGCGTAAACTTGTCGAAAGAAAAATTTGCAATCGACAATACACATTTTTTTTTGTTATCTGATCTTTTTAATATCGATATAACGGAGTTTGGGAATGTTACTTTGTTACACAATTTCAAACCTCATAAACAAAAGTTCGTCTGATTGGTTGATTTTCCGCAGATCGTCGTAGATCGATTTTTTGTTGATCAATTCACGTGTTTTTAGTACCCTAAAAAGGTTAACCGATCCCGCAGTAACTGTCAATAAGTAAAGGTATAGAAAAGTGAAACAGTCTCTAATAAAAGTTTATTATTTTTGAATTTGTTTTTGAGTAATATAAGTGGTGTTAACCTCTGTAATTTAGTACTATGTGATATTGACTCAGGCCCGGGGCACGTAGATCATTTTTATATGGTATATATGTCATAAGTGAAAATAGGATTTGGAATTTTTTAGTTAGGGTGTGTATATGACAAATCAACCCCAAATGCGGGTTTATACGTATAAAAATTCTAAATTTACTTAAATTCTGTTTTCACTTACAACATATATTTTGCTATTATGTTACTTTTTTTTAAAAAAAAAAAACTTTTTGAATCTTTTAATTTTTATAATAATGTAGTTTTAGATAAAACTACTACAGAAAGAGTGTACAATTGATTACATATGTAACTTTTCTATATTACTTATTTAAGAAATTTGCCTGAAAATTTCTTATTAATTGTTGTATCTAACACCTCTGCTTGGATATTTTATTTTAAACTCTCCAAACCTACAACTTATATTAACTTCACTAAGTTATATTTAAATCTTTGTCTTAATCTTGATATTATTTTATCTTTAAATTTTTAGAGCCTTTAGTATATCTATTTTATAATTAATTTGATATTACTATAATTGAACCAATACTTGCAATCAAAACTAGTTATTAAATTATTATGTTTTTACAAAATTTACCTAAATTTCAATATACTTTAATATATATTTGTTTTTGTTTTTAGATTTTTAATTCAGATAATTTAATAAATAAAAACTTTCTGATTTTCTTGTTTATATTTATAAATTTAATAAGAGTATCTTTAAGAGTAATAGGTTAGACTTTTTTATTATATTTTTCTAGTCTCTTCTAATTTTTTTAGTTTTTTTAAAATTTAACTCAAAATGTTTTCTGTATATGAATATTCTTTTTATATTTGAGTTTTAGTTTTAGTTATTCTTTTTCTAAAAGGTATTTTTTCTTCTTTGAATAAGTTTATATATCTTGATTAGTTTTTTATAACTTGATTTTGTATGTTGCTTTTGTTTCTTATTATCTGATTTTTTATTTTTTTATTTTTTTTTTAATCTCGTTTATATATAACTTGCTTTTTTATTTTTTTTTTTTAATATTAGTTTTTTCTGTATTAGAAGTTTAACTAAATTCTTCTTAGCTTTTTTTTTCTTTTTTGAGACTTTCTCTTTATTTTGTTTTTTTTTTTTTTTATTTAAAATAATTAATATTATTATATATAAATAGTTTTAATTAGACTATCTTTATATCTTTTTTTATTATAAACATAACTGTTGCAGTTTTTTTTAATTTTTATTTCTATTCAGAAGGATATGAACAGATTTAATTTTTTTATTTTTTAAACTTTATAATACTAGAACTTTTAGATAATTTTGTTGATTTTGTTATATATTTTTTGTTTTTTTCTTGCTTTATAGTTTTTTATTTCTTTAATTATATATACTAATTTGTTATTATTTATTAATATAATTTATAAAATGTTTTTATATATTTCTTTTGCTTATATCATTAATATGATTTTATACTTTAACTTTTTAATTCTTACTATAGATTTTTTTGATTCTTTTGCAGATATATTCTAATTATTTTTTGTTTATATCTATTAATAAGTTTCAAATCATTAGATAATTTCTGTTCTTTAACTTCTTATTTATTTTGTATTGGTTTTTATTTATTTTGATTTTAATCTCTTTTTATTTAAGTTTTTTTAGTTTTTTTTATTTTTTATTTTTTGATATTTTTTATTATATTGTTTTTGTTTTTTTATATTATTTTTTTTCTTTTCTTCTAATATTATTCTGTACCAGTTACTTTCCTTTTTATTAATTTTTTGTATTATTTTACTTTTATCATATTTGAAATCAAAGTTTAATTTTAATTATAGCTTTTCTCTTTTAAAAACTTTTCTAATATTTTTAATATATATATTATTTCTTAATAATTATTTAATAAATTTTATACATTTTTCTTTTATTTTTTTAGATATATTGTGTATTAATATATTAATAAGTAAGCTGTTATTTTAATTATAACTTATTTTACTTAATACCTAAATGCTTTTTTTTAAAGATACTTTGAATATATTAATTTTTTTTTTTGATTTCTACTTTTCTTTTTGTTTGTTCTTTTTTTTTATTACTAAGTTATGTCTTAGATCTTTTTTATTTGTCTTAGTACCTTCTTGTTTTTTTTTTGTTTTTCTATATTTCTTTTTTAGTTAGACAAATTTCTTCTTTCTTAATTATTGCTTATCTGACATCTTTATATTTAATTTTTTTGTAAGTTTTAATATTGTTTTGTGATTTCTTTTCACTAATTTTTTTATTTTTTATCTTTTTTTTTTATGTTGTTTTGTATAATTCTTTTTAATTTTGATTTGCTTTAGTTAATTGTTATTGTACTTTTTTTTCTTTATTTTGTATTTATTTTATTATAGGTTTTTTTATTATCTTATTTTTGGTTTGTTTACTAATATTTATTTTTTTTTTAATGACTCTCTTTCTGCTCTTTTAATTATTTTTCTAATTATGTATAGTAAAGCAACCTTTATTAGATCTTATTTTGTTAGCATAATAATAATTTTATCTTTTTTATTTGATGTTGTATAAGTTCTATCTACTTGATTAAAAATATCTTATTGTATATACTATTTATTATCTAATATGTTCTTTTGATATAAATTGATATTAGATTTTCTTTTTGATTTTTTTTTTTAATATTAAAATAAGGATTTATTTATATTTTTATTAGTAATTTTTGTTATATATATTAATATACTACATATTAAGATATACTAAAATTATATAATACAAAATAAAAACTATATATAAGAATTAAAGCTTAGACAATTTTATTTGCAATCTAAACTAACAATTATGGTCAAAGCCTATTTAAATTTGTTATATTTATACAAATCTAAATAGGTTTAATCTAGATTATATAAGTACTTTATAAGAAATTTATAAAGTATAGATAATATATAATTTGTTTAATATATTGTTGATTATTTGTATAAATATATTAATCTTAAGTAGGATAATAGAATAAAAAAAAATTATAGTGGTTTGGGTCCTATAGCTTAGTGATTAAGCTTCTATACTCTTTATAATTAAGATCAATAGTTCAAGTTTGGCTGAAAACAAAAATTAAAAGATTTTAGCTTCTGTAACCTAATAAGAAGCTTGTAATTAAATGTAAAGCTCTGTAGTTAAGTCTAAGTACAGTACAATGATGGAAATAGAAATTCTTAGAAAGAGACCCAATTATGAAGTGCAAACACTAGATATAACAAGTGATTGTTACAGAAGATTATAATTATGAAAAAATTGTACATATAAGTCCTTTAGACTAGAGCAGCATTAACATTTTTATATCTCCTAATATAAGCAGTACTAATATTCTTACACCCAACTTGTGAAGTACTTGCTTGAAAGAATAATCAATGAATTATGCAAATAAGTCTTAATTAGGATTTAAGAAAAGAATTTGATTGAGAGAGTATTCTAAAAGTAACTAAGACTGAAATAATGAAAGAAGCAGTAAACACAAGAACAGGTTGTAATAAAGGATTAGTCAAACTAAAAATTAGAAGCATCTCTAACACAACTGAATAATTTATTTATAGAAGAAAAATCTTGAAAATTGGCATATAATTTCTTTGTGCAATATAAAAGTATCAAATCAGGTTTCTGGTCATACCTATATAGAAGTCTATAATGAACAAAACTAGGATCAACCAACCAATATGAGATAAGATCTGCAAGATAGTATGGCATTACTAGAGTCAGTATAACTCTCTGGGACATAACCAGAATTGTTCTACAAGTATTATTAAATAAGCTAAGAGCTTGCAATATATGATAGTATAGTATTACTAGGATTGAAAGAACTCCTTAAGTATAACCAGAATTGTCCTATTTGTAAGTGCAACAAGTCTCAGTTTCTACTATAGAAAGGAGCACCATGTTGGAGATTAAATACAGCATTGAGTTACTGTATGATGTTAAGACCTGAGGTATTTGCAGAAATAGTAGCAACAGATCTGGCTTAAAATATAGATTAGTCAAAAGACTAATGACAACAGCAGATTTGGCTTGAGATACAGGTTTATTACAGATTCTAGACTATTGTCAAAACACCTTAAGGGAATCAATAACAGGTATACCAAAGATAAGAAGATTATAAGGATCAAACATACCTGAGTAAGATCAATTTGAGAGTAATATAGTAACAAAAAGATAAAAAAATATAGGAAACAAGATAATACTAGATATAGTTAGATTAAGAGGCAGAAGAAACAAGACTAGGTAAAATATATGAGTGAGATATATAGGTATAATTTACAGAAGACAGTACCTCTGGCATTTGAGATACTATATTAAGTTCAGTAGATATCATTGTCTGTGTAGTAATTTAATGATGTGCCCTGATCGCAAGTGATTGTTAAGATAACTGTATGCAGGCATGCAGCAGATATGTACTTAGATGTCATAAGAATAACTGAATAAAGCTAATAATGTAAAATTAGATAGTATATAGTACTAGTAATAATTGATCC